TTAAAAATTTATAATTCTTCTAAACAAAAATATGAATAAATATATCATTTTATTTATGCATGTTCAAACAAACCCAATCATTCAAAGATGTATGTCTTTTTCGACATGAAAAACCAGTAACATATGGTATATGCCAACAATTGTTTTGTTTTTGAACAAATGCATCAATTTGTGTTTTTGAATTTAATTTTATTAAACCCTTATTTCTATCAAAATAATATTGATGCAAAAATTGCCATTTATTAAAGATAATATTTAGTTCAGTATTTTGAATAGCAAATTTATATTGACGCATTAAATCCCTAGTAATAACTATAACATTTTTTCCACTTAAAAATGCTGCATATAATATGAATAAATCATCATGTGACCTAAAATATTAGAATAACAATATAAATTATATTATGAAACAATAGAAAAAAATATGTATATAAATACAATACGAACGAATTGTTAACAAAGAAACAATTTTTTATGTTTATATGTAATCTTTCGAAAAAATTCTTCGCATGTCTTCTTCCAATGATCAGAATTTTTTTATTCTGTTTTTCGCAAGATTTAATGAATTCTATGATCTAAAAAAAATATATATATATTAATTTTTAATTGATTATTTATATTTTATTCATAAAAAAAATATATTTATCATAGCATCATAAATTTATTTATGTTATTCACTGTAATTATCAATTATTTACCTTACGCTTAAATTTTAAATCATTTCGCATAACATAAATAATATTTAATCCATCAATAATAACATCAAATGGTTTATTTTTTTCGACAAACATTTTATATTTTTTTATTTCTTCTGGCAAAATTAAATAATACATAGTAGGTTTAAAAAATTTTTGTATAGCTTCCAATAAATATTTATAATCTTCATCAGATATATTTATTTCTGATATTTTTTGTTTACAGTTTTTGCATATTAAACTATATAAAAAAAAATAAAAGAATAAGAAACAAGAAATTATTTATTACTATTTATATTATAATTATTAAATATACTTTGATATTCAATATACTTTGATATTGTTGTTTGAGTAACAAAACAACCATGTTCGATACATGCTGTCATATATTCTGATACAACATTGTGAGAAGGTTTAACACCATATTTATTCCATAATGTGAATATTTTCTCAATTTTTTCAATAAATGTATGTTTATCTTTTAAACAATATTTTAAATATGTAATACATATATCTTCATTAGGTCCTGCATCTTTTTTCATAGTATTAATTAAATATTCATATGCTAATTTATCTTCTTTATGATCAAATAAATATGCAATTAATTCATTATATGCATGGTGAAGCAAATTATTATCATTTGCTTCATATTTTTCTATAACTTTAATAGCTTTCTTCCATTCGTCTATTTTACATAAGCTTTCAACAAGAATATTACTTATTCTTGTATTAAATGAACTATATTGAATCATAAGATTATCGTATAAACTTAAAATATGTTTTTTATCTATTTCTGTAATTAAATCACTTTTTAGATGATATAATTTCAAATATTCTGTTATGGTATGTCCTGTAGGATTATAATTATTATCTTCTAAAAATTTATAATAATATATTCCAAGATGTGGATGATTCTTATAATAGAACATATTCAAAATAAAAGAATCAGTAATTTGAAAGGAATTACATTCTGATTCAATATAATTTCTTAAATTTTTCCACATTTCTTTGGATGTGCTATTATTATATTCTACTAATATATTCTTATAATTTTCCATCAAATAATTCCAAAATTTATCAAATTCTTTGTTCTTCTTTATTGAAAAATTACAAAATTTTCTAACCATGTTATGTAATATTGATGTTTGGCGTAAATATAAAATCATGTTATTCAAATTAATATATAATCTTCTAAGATTTTATATAATTTTATATAGTTCACTTGATCTTACTAACCTAAATTTGTAAATCTTAAAAAAAATCTCAAATTACATTTTAGAAAATACTTAATATTATTAAATATTAAAAATACTTAAAATCACATGTTTCATTCACTTGATTGTATAAATAAATAAATTTCTCTTCACTATTCACTTTTTATTGATAAGTTATTTACACATAAAAATAAACTTGCACGTGCACGTAGTTACGTCAATGTTAAATGAATTTTGAAACAATATCAATCAGTATATCATTCAGTATAAGATGAATTGAAAGAAAAAAAAAAAAATGATATAATTATATGTAATTTATTTTAAATATAAATTATTAAAAATAATTATTAATTTTAATTAAATATAAATTTATAAATTGTATATATTTTTTTAATATAATTGATTTTGAAGTCAGAATCGAATCAATTAATAAGGAATTTAACTAAAAAATATAATTTTTTTTTAAAAATTTAAAAATTTAAAAATTCAAATTTTTTTAGTCTTTGTCGCCCACTAGTTACAACGGTACTGAGACTTGACATGCGATCTGTGATGTCAAGTGTTTCTGAAACAATATAAGGAGAATTGATAAAACCAGATATAGTTCAGTCTCAAGCCTTACGCTTGCACATCTCAAGTTGATCGTGCATCGTGCAGCCCAGTTTCTTTATAAATCGTGATCGTACGTGCTACGAAACTGGGAACAGTGAACGTCCAAGACGATCACGCAACAAAGAAGAGGGACATGTTCTGAGGAGGATTGCGACGAGGTAAGAGATTACGTTAAAAAGTTAACGTGTGATAAAAATATTCGAAAAATTCATAATTACAAGCAATTAGTTTTACGAATAATTAATTTTAATTTTACGATTTTATGATTTATAAGCGTTTTAAAATAACAACGGAAATCCTTAAGAAAAATTCAAAATGTAATTGTTTTTAAAAATTCATTGTAAATTCATCGTCAATAAAATCTTTCCTTCGTAGAATTCTTTATGAAAAAATTATGTATTTGTATTATTATTGTTATCTAGAAAACACATATTTGCATATTTGAATAGAAGAAAGAAAATAAAAAAAATTGTTTTTCGTTTAATGAAAAAAATTATTTAAATTATCGTCGATTTTGAAAAACAAAATATCGACTTTTGATTCTTTTGAATCTATTAAATTGAATATCTTAATAATACCTTAATAATTTATAATATAAAACAATTGAAACATATCATATTCACAATATATCATGAAAAATCATGGTATTAGAAAGTAATAATTATTTTTCCGAATAACGTGAATTGAATTATCGATAATTATTAATTTACACGATTTTTATGACAAGATTTAAAATAAGAAATATGCGTTATCGAGACAGTTTTACGCAATGTTTCACATTCTCTAATGTTCGATGACATAGCAAGAATTCATACGTTTTTAATCGTAAACATATTGAAGAAAAATAATATTTCTTGAATAATATTTGAATAAAAAATAAATCTTTTTAAATATTTGATAGTCCACGAAATATATTTATCTGACATAAAATTTGAGATTTTATTATACGACCATTTAATCATATGATTTAATAATTATACGATTTATTTAAATAAAAAGATGAAATTATATTGTATTTTATTATTATATTTTACTTCGATTAAATGGAATAATTTTAATATCGAATTTTTCTTCGAAAAAAATATTTATGAAGAATATTCGAAAAAAAATTTCTATATCTTGTTTTCTATGTTTGTTGTAACATTTCGTTAAAAAAAAAAATTTATCTTTCAAAAGATCATGTTAATTATTGATAAATGTATTTGCTTTCGTTTTTTACATAACAAAATATGTATACATACATAGAAATTCTGAAATATTATATTTATCGATAAAATAGTTAATAAAAATTATTGTCGTTAAACTTGTTTTTCACATTAATACAATCATAATCCATCTAACAAAGAAAGTTATACGGATATAATAAATTAATGGTAACGAGTGAGATGAGTATTATTCTCGTGAAAGAGATATCGATTGATGCGAGAAAAATGATATCAAAGTTTGATATTATTTTTTTTAGACATTTTAGATTTGTTTTGATGATGAAATAATTAAAATAAAGGTAAATAGGAAGGGGGGAGGGGGGAAATAATAAAATCATTTCGATTATTAAGTATTCATGATCTCTTCAATATACATAATTAAAAATTAATTATAAAATACCGTTTATATTTGCTTTTTTAACTTTTCTCTTAATTTTTGCTTTTCACAAATAATTTAGATCACGTGTCATGAGATAATAGATGGATAATTTATTCTGTTTAAAAAAAACACTTATATATCGAGTACATATAATAACGAAAAAAAAAAATATTCGCGATTATTATTATTATCATTAAAAATAAAAAATATTTGATAATTGAATAAATTAATAATTTCAAATGCAAATCTCATATCTTTCAAGGTTTCTGACACACCAGTGGTACAGTGAATTTTTATTTATGGAGAACTACACATCGGACTCGAGCGATTCGGATTCCAGTACCAAAACATTGGATTTATCTTATCTGATGCTCGACACTCAACTACTAAACGATCATTTCATCAATACGAAAAATCCAGAAAATGTAGACACATTGTTACTCCATCAAAATCGATTGAACAACATTCCACAGATGATAGTTAGGTTCACGAACTTGAACTCATTGGACATATCAAATTGCGGCCTTCATCGACTCCCTGATTTCCTTGGCGATTGCCCTCTCACGTGTTTGGTGGCTAAGCACAATAATTTGACGAATGATTCGTTGCCTAAAAATTTTCAAAATTTGTCAAGACTCAGAGAGCTGAATCTGAGCGGTAACAGATTGACAAATTTTCCACTGCAAATTCTAGATCTGACAGAGATTAAGTATCTGTATTTGGGTGGCAATCAAATCACTGAGATCAGCAAAGATGTTTGGAAACTGCAAAGGTATTTTTCAATTCATTTGTCTGCGATAGTTTAATCCTCGAAACTAATTAATCAAGTATTTCGATATTAAAGTATAAAATTTTCTTTACGTGCGCCAAGAGGCATAGTCGTAAAATATCAAACATAAAACTTAAAACGTATGCACATCGAGTATTTAAAAAATATTTCGATTTATCTTTTTATTTTAATAGAATAATTGGAAGAATAGAAAATGATAAAAAAATGAATAATTTTATTTGAAGATTGCACGTTTTATCGATGGGAGGGAACAGATTGACGGAAGTGCCATCCACCTTAGGCGAGTTAATGTCTCTTCAAGCGTTGATATTATGCGACAACATGCTGGAAAGTTTACCTAGTTCCATAGCAAAATTGACCAATTTGAAATCATTGTTACTTCACAAGAATAGATTGAGAACATTGCCTACTGAAATCATCACGTTAAAATGTTTGACAGAGGTGATATAAAATTGTATATTCGATAAGAATAAAAATATATAATACGAATTACTTATTTGAATTTATTAATCTTTATATATTCTATGTAATACTAATATATTCTATGTAAATGTATATGCGCGAAGAAAAATTAAAATAATTAATAATATCCTTATATATAATAATTGTAATATAATTGTTTATTTTTATTTATTTTTTTGGTTCAGTTATCTTTGAGGGATAATCCACTAGTAGTAAGATTCGTATCGGATATGACACACAATCCTCCATCCCTATTGGAACTGGCCGCTAGAGTGATAAAGACCAATGACATCCGATACGATAGGGAGAGTATACCAAGGAACCTGGTGGAGTATCTAAACAGCGGTCACCGTTGCGTCAATTCTAAGTGTAAAGGTCAGCGCCTAGACTTGTATAAAATTCAAAGTTCAATCAGCTTGACCACTAGCGACATCCATTTTTTTTTTGATTCATAATCGGCAGCGTTATCACAACTTGCACGTGTATATACATGCACTTCTCCTTGGAATTGTTTTCATATTTCAATCTCGTGGAGCAAGTTGAAACAATACACAATAATACGAAAGATACTATTGAAATTGCAATTTTCATCTTTCTCGTTATATCTTTAAAAAATAAAAAGTTTATTCGTTTCGTTACAGGTGTATTCTTCAATAATAGAGTGGAACACGTCAAATTTGTCGATTTCTGTGGAAAGTATCGTCTACCTCTGCTACAATATCTTTGTAGCAGGAAATGTATAGAATCACGAGATGGAGACGAAGTGGTCAGTGGTGCGATGATAAGAAAAGTTCTTTTGGGCTGATTACTATTAGATGAAATTTTACAACTACAAGATTTGTTATCTTTCCGCTCAAAGGAGATAGGAAAATATCGATCGATCAACGATTGTCAAATACAATTTCAAGTATCAGTTTCAAGATTTTTGAAAGTTAAACGGAGGAGATAAAGGAGGGATTATGATTTGCAATATAATTGCACATTTGAATAGAAAATTCGAAACTCGAGACATATATATATATATATTGTAAATTGAACATAAGTTAAAGAAAAGTTTCAACCAAACGATAATATCGTTGATAAGTCTTTCAAAGCTGATGAATCGTTTTTGCCAAAATTGCCATTTTTAACACACATATATATATATATATATA